ATGTCTACAAAAGAACCTCAAGTAAGTACAGTTGCCAGTTTTACCGCTTGGGATATAACATGGTCTGGATGACTGAAAAATTCCATAGGCAATAATACTTTGGTACTTATAATGCAGTAATGTGGTATAGGCCTATATTAACATGAAATGTGCCATAATGCACTCTTACTTTTGTACTTTTAATCCGTGGACTGTCAGGACCAAAGACTGGACCTCACAGACACCAGTGTGATGATCTTGAGCAAGGCCCTTAAACCAAGTTGCTCCAGTGGAGCTGCTCAGTGGCCAGCACTGCATTCTGTGGTTGTACTGGGCAGCCTCCAGGTGTCAGTGTGTAAAACCGTGTGAATGTGATCAGGGCTTTCCTGGAAAAACGAGGACTCTCAGTTAAAGCAGCTTGACTAAATAAATTAAGATTAAAATTTTGCAGATAATATTTGTGTTGTTCCTACTTTAAGTTAAGAATATGAGTACGTCTACCACTGCATCCATTAAGGATGGTGCAGTTCAATAAAATGCAAAATACATGAAGCTTATAATTTTGGGTTTTGATAAGACAAGTGGTGGTGGTGTATGCTGTGGAGCAGAGTAAAATAGGGCATGAAAGATTATTTCTGCAGAAAAATTACCTCAAAACCTGAACGTGGGTCAACATGTTGGAATGGAACAATTCTTACAAAGAGAAACATCACTGGGCTGCCATACTAAATATGTTATAACATAATATAACATGTGGTATAAGTACAGGTGTTGATGTTAATGTGTCCACAAAGTAGGCTGAAACATAATGTTATGAATGTGGCACATACATTAATGCAGAAGTAATGGTTTTCAGTTTTTTTTAGTAAATTGACACTCGGGTGTTTACTGGGTGTTTTAAAAACTTTTAAAGCCACTTGGGTTTAATAAATATATAGTATAAATATAACATCTGTCTTGGAAAACATGTTTATAGTTCTTAAAATGAAGAGATTTTCTCAGTCAATGCAAGACTCTGTTTCTGGTGGTGTGATAAGTTTTATAAACGACTGTCCACCCAGCAGTACCTGTCCACTCACCAGCAGCCAGTGGGAGACTGACATCTTGCCATAACTGCAGAACAGCTTGTGTAAAGTGCCTTGCCACTTGGAGGTTTACTCCATGTGAGCCTTTGTTGTTTTATGAGCTTTACAAAGATGAAGTTAACAGCTTGCACCCTGTTAGTAGCTTACATCATAAATAGATGCCACAGAAACAAATTTTAGATCATTAATCTAATCAATTTAAGCAGTGTCTTTTTTCTCTTTTCCTCTGTGTAAGCTTGTGTGTCTGAGAAACACCTCTCAGCTTGTTTCATTACTATAACTTGCATGAGTTCCAAACGTGCATAAAACCTTCTAAACATTTTCTCACACCTGTCATGTCATTGATTGCTTAAATATCCAGGTGAGGTAAAAACAGGCGAGACACAGTGCCAATCTATTTGTTTATTTAACAATGCATGCCAGACATGATCCTATTCACATAGAAGAATACAGATTTGTATTTGCATCCAAATACGCACTACTTTGATTTCATATTATAAACTCTCTATCCTTCTCGTAGTAATCTTTACAGGTCATCTCTGTGCACTCAGAGCGGAAGAATTGCATGCATTTAAAGGACATTAAATAAAATGTGACCAGCAGGGGATAAGTCCCTTTCAGTTGTAGAAGCACAACATCAGCAGTTATTGCAGAAAAAACATGTGCGTGAAACTCTCTTTAGTTTACGAGTCACAAGTCGTCTTTAAGAGGGAAGCAGAAATGTTGATTATTATCGTATGCTCGCGATTCCACAAAACTGTCAGAGTATCAGAAAAAATGTAAAAAAATACTATACACTGGGATTCTGTCAGGCTGTGCATCGACATGTCTGGGTGATCGAGCAGTTCACGCACATACACGCATACAGTACACACACATAGGCACACACACATACGTACACACCTCCTATCAATGCCTTCAACAACAGCCATGTCAGCAGATCACAAAACCATTCATAGAATTGCGCACACAGGAGTTTAGAAGTGATATGGACATGTACGCTATCTCATGTTATTTCCTGGAGGATAAAGAAATTACAAATATTTTGACTTCCTAACCTAATAGGTCAAATAGGAGGGTCTAGAGTTTCTGTCTTGCACAGTCATCTGTTTTCATACTTAGCTGTACAAAATGTGACCTTTGCCTGATTAACCCTATCTGTCACAGCTGTGTACACAACAGGTCAGTTAAAGCATGACTCAATTTGTTTCCATTCAGTTGGAAATGTTTGGTTTGGTTCACTCTGTAAAGGTCAACTGTGCGTGACGAAAGCACTCTCTATCAAGACACAATTCTTCATATAGCAAGAAAGATAAAACACTCCCTATTGTTTGTATGGGTGAGAATTTAAAGTTGTATGTGAAGAAATCAAACAAATATGAAGACATGCATTCATGTACCATTTCTGAATACATAAAACAGAAAATATATAGATTCCTTATGATCCCCGAAGGTTCTGGGTCAGATTCATAAAGCACAGTGATTATATTGGAAGCCTTCTGCTGAAGATAAAGTCTTTCTTACTTTCTTTCCTTCCTTCCTTCCTTTCACAATGACTCCATTATGTACTTACTACCTTGCATCACTGGAGTAATGTTGTCCCTGAGCACTGACTTGGGGTCAAGCTTTCCTTTTTAAGACACACTGTAACCTGCAAGTAACATATTTTGAAATTGCAGTCCTCTGTTATGTACTGTGCAGCTACAACATCCCAATTTTCAGCTTATAGATATTTAAACGTGTCACGCTCCAACCTGTCCAACCTACAGCACTTGATCCTTACTGATGTGTCCACAGTGCAGTTTATGTTGCTGCTATATTTACTGGGTTATGGGGCATTCCACCAAATTTACAAATAAAGGTCAGTTTACTGGGTACTACTCAGCAAAAGAACACAGTTGTATAATGTCTTTTTGGGGGGGTGCTTTGGGACATTGGAGAAAAATACCCCCATGTTTACTTGGGCTTGAGACTTCAAATATTCAACGTGTGTTATTAACTGGGGCTAGGAGTTTGAAAGTTGAACGAATTTCAGGAAATGTTGATCAAGAGGTGCTATTAAGTGGGAATAGTAGGTTCCAGCATTTTTACAGCTTGACCCATACTGGTGACTAAAAATGTACATCTCAAGCTGCTGCTGCTTCAACTTTAACCTTTCTTTTTTTAACATCTGTCTCTTGCAAGTCCCCCAACCTTATGGAGGTGCAGTACCAAAAATTGCTGGAATGCCCCTTTAAGGTTTCAGGTTTGGGTTAGCATTTGCTGCCATACAACCAGTTTGGACTGTCAAACAGTCGGGGGTGTGACACATTCTATTCAAGCAGGAAAACATATTAACTGCAACAGCACATTGCAGAGATACTACACCCTCATCCTTACATCACATTTTCATGAGCAAATAGATTTTCTTTTTTCAGATATGAAACTATCATCCTTAATAAGATCATTTATGTGTTTTTAGTGGATTCAAATAAATCTAGATAGAAGCAGTGATACAGTTTATCAGCAAACCCTTCTCACTGTATCGCATGTATGAAAACAATCACTGATATTTGGGTTCTGTGATTAGTGAAAATAAGAGATGAGACATTTCACAGATTTGTGAATCACTTCAGTTTGCACAAACTCCATCCATGCCCAAAAGGCACCCTGCGTTTGGTATACTGGCAACTGAGTATCGCCGTGTCAGCTTTACATTAGAAAATTCTCTTATGCGGCATAACAATAAAAACTACTTTAAATACTTTAAATATGACTGAAATGTACAGTATATCAGACAGTTCTATATTTCATAAATAATATAATACATCAGCATTTAGTGCATGTAGATGGTCATTTTTTTAATTTAAAAGCTTAATTAGAAAATACTTAAAATTTGTCAAAAATATCACTGATAAGATATAAATATTAATTTTGTAATTCAAACAGACATTTACTGCAATTATCAATAATGAGCAAGAAAATGTCAATAAATAGAATCAATCTCAAAGTAAAAGCAACATAATTCAGCTCAACTTCAATAGTGAGGAAATATAAAACAAATAAAACAAAAAAAATCAGCAACAATTCTATGAATTTCACTGATCCTATCTTTACAAAGCTATCAAAGAAGGACATCTTCTTCCTCACCAGACTTCTTCCATTAGGAAAACAAAATGAGACATTTTAAAAACACTGATCTGGATTTTGTATTTTAATAATAATATTAACCCTATGTTTCCTCCTCCATGTCATTTAAAATGCACACCTTTCTCACAGCTCAGCTAGAATGCATATGTACTTAATAGCTTCTTCTCAAGCCTTCTTAAAAAGTTAATTAATAAATTAGCTCTTTCTTTAGGAACTCATCTTGAACTGTATATGATTTATAATGGGCTCAGTCACTGGTTAGCTGCTTCCTTTTAAAGTCTCCTTTTGCAGCTGTTGGCTTTGAATGGAATGAAAAAAAATAATAGAAAAGCAAATGAATAAAAGCGATGGAATTGATGAAGGCTGGATCCATAAGGTGTAGGTGGATGTAAAACCACTGCAACATAACGCCACTGTCAAAGTCTACAAGAATGCTACTATTGACTGAGTGGAAAGCTTTTTGGTGTAAGGTGCAGGCATAGAAGGTTCACATCAGGTTCACCCAGCCAGCAGTTGATTGTGAAACAGGCTCCTAGCGCCCTCTTGTCACCGTTTTTTACAATTGCACTTGTTAAAGCTCTCAGATCAGGGGTCTCATTTAGAACCGCTGTGTGTGCACAAAATGGGGATATAAGCATGCCACTTCCCATGGAAAAGCTGGGATTTATAAAGACAAACTTGATGAGAGAACATGCACAGGAAAACTCTGATTCATGCGTACGCACATTTTAGATGTGACACAAATGATGAAGCAGTGAACTGAAGCTGGATTTTATACCGATACCTCTGCGTACGCACATTTTAGATGTGACACAGATGATGAAGCAATGAACTGAAGCTGGATTTTATACTGATACCTTTTATAGGTTTAATTTCATTTCATATCAAAATAGTAATTATGTTTTAATTGTGATAAATATTCAGGCGGTTGTGTTATGTTGTGTTTGTGCTTGCAGGGCACTAATTATTCCATAAGCACCTCTCTGTTTTAAAAGATGCAGGCCATCCCAAATCTTAAGTTAATACTGATGCTTGGTTTTGAAGCACAGTGCAGCTGAACTGCCAAGGATGATGCCAGGATGTGCCAGGTGGCGGGTTTGGGAAAGACGGACTTACCTTTCCCTGCTATTGACTCTGAATATCCTAATTCCTTTATATCTCAACCACAGTAGGCTAAACACTGCAGTAATCACCAAACTGCATGACCTTTTTTTATAGAAAGCATCGGTAGATTTCTAACGAATGAATGATTATATGGCCAGTTACATTTTTAATTCATTTTCATATGTTTTCATTTTGTATAACATGTCCTCGGTGAACACATGACTGTGCTGTCAGGGGCACCAGGTGCACAGAACACACTAAAGAGCCCGCTGTGCTGTCAGACCCTTTACGTTCTCCTGGCACTTCACATACACCTCCTGCTCTCATCAGCAGCTGTGAAAATGACAGAAACACATGGATTTTGGAGTTACACACATAACATGCTTCTTGTTTTTTTAAAGATATTTACAGTGGGATTTCTTCAGCTATGTACGCGTCTTTATCTTTGCAGGCTTAACAGACACAAAGCTGTGAATTTTAGTGCTCCCATGTCTCTGCAGGCCAGTCCATACTCTGATACCGTGCGGCAAAGCGTTTAAGGCATCCAGCCATTTCTGTGTTTTGTGCGCACATAAACTTTTGATATGGATCCTATGCACAGTCTTATAAATGAGGCCCCAGGTCTGAATTTAGAGATTTGATGAGTAGGATCTCACTGACCATCTATGTGTGAGGACATGAAAATATGCATGAGAATGTCAACATGCACTTTATAAAACTCTTCTATTTCATTTCTTATTTTCTGCATGGGCCTTCAACACACTGAATGCCATCATTATTTGTCCTGATATAGGCTCATGCCTCCAATCAGTGCAGAAAGCATGAGCCTTAAAAAATAAATATTGTGACCTGCTAATCTCAGTTTTCATATTTTCTTTGTTAATGTTTCCTGATAATGTTTAGCTTTTCACTCTTATCCCATGGCTAAATAATCTAGTTTCCACTGTTCCAGTCACTGCAGATATTGTACAGATTGTTGAGACTTGACACCCATTACTGGAAATGTGATACAGTAATGACCTTTCGACTGGAATATGTTCAAACACTGGTCTCTTTTTCTAGATGAACTGACTAAAAATAAGAACTATTTTATCAGTAAATATGCTACAGTATGTGAACAAAAGACATATATGATTATTTCAAAGGTGAAGTTTTGCATCCAGAGTTAAGTACAGTAGTTGCCATATTACAGCCATTTCCAGTGCAACCACACAGGGGAAATAGTTCCAAACACTTCAGTGATTTGTTTATGAAGCAGCCAGAAGTGTTGTTCTTGCTGTTTGCTAGTGTTGGGCCTTTACAGGATGGAGTTGGAGGAAAATTTATTTAAAATTCTGCAATAGTTTTGTGACAGTAATGACTCTATACTAAGACAAAATGAGAAGGTGTCTTTATCTTTCTCTCTCCTCTTTCCGTGTTGCTCAGACTTGACAGCTTCTACTACATAATGCAGCTAGGAGTAACAGTATAGTCCTCTGAATAATGTGTTTGATATGTGATGTAACACAGTGACAGATGTCTACTTGATGCAAAGGTGGTGGGTGGAAGACATACGGTACAAATACACCTTCCATTTCCATAACATCACATTGAGATTTAGCTACTTAGCTACAAGAGGAGATAAAAACTAGTCTAGATTCATAGCTCTTAGTTTTTGACTGGTGGACAGCAGGACCCCTGCATCTCCCATCCCTTTCCCTTGATTCATGATCCAGAGTAAAGCTGCCCTCCAGCACTAACAATGAATAAAATGTGACAAGTGAAAAAAAAACAAAAAAAAAAACAACTGTAGTCCAGATCTGTATCTAGAGGCAACCTCATCCATTTTTTCACTTTTACCGATGGCCCTTTCAGTTTTCCTCCATGGTCCTATCAGTGTGTGAGTGTGGTGACCAGTGCCCTTGTCACGTGTAGTTTTGTCTGTCAAAGCTGCGGAAAGCCGATGGAGTGGCCAGCTTTCTCATGGAGAGACTGTCAGTCTTGGCAGCTTCAGGCCGTGCTCCAGACTTGCTCCTGAGGAAGGGGTTTCTGGTTCCTGCCAGACCCCGGCCCCCAGGCCCAGGCCCCCTGTCTGCCCCCAGACCTGGTCCCCTCTCCATCCTCTCACTCACTGACAGGCTCTTCCGGTGTGGAGGGGCCACTGTGAGGGAAGGATGGGAGTCATCTGAGGAGCAGCTGTTTGCTCGCTCCAGCTTGGAGAAGGTGGAGCAGAGAGGGGCCCCACTGGGCCCACTAAGGACCCCTAGGCGAGGGGTGTCAGGGGCTGGAATCAGGTCCTCAGGGTCCTCTGGATCAGACTCTGTGTGACTAAGCTCTGCCTCTCTTTCTGGATGAGAGGAACCTATGTCTGGCGGCTTATCAAAGGGGAATGAGGTGGATCCTCCGGGGGATTGTGAGCGTTCTGCAGGAGCGTATGGAGCTGAGACACACCGTGTATCGATGCAGTCAGTGATGCTGGTGTACTCTGCAGCTTTTACTTGGACTCCTGCACCAAGTCCACTGTAGCAGCCCCTTGGCGTGAACATGAGGCTGTGGGATTTGACCAGGGGAGGCTCATCCAGGAATGCTGTGCCTGCCGTACAGAGGTAGCGGCTGCTCTTTGAACGTTCGAGCAGCCCTGCTGAAGGAGGTGGGGATGGTTCTATGTCCCAAGGAGGTAATGTGGTATCTGGTAAGAGGTGGGCTGAGCACAGTGACAAATCAACAGCTGCACTGTCGTCAAACACGGCGCCAGCTGTGGTGCTGCTGCCTGCACCGCCCTCCGAGTGCCTGTCGCCCAAACCGCTGGTGGCAGCGCTGCTGTAGTCCCGGCCTCCCGGCAGCACCGTTTCCAGGATATCTGACTGCAACGAGCAGTCTCTCTGGAGCGGTGGGACAATACGGAGAGGATTCAGAAAGACCTCTGCAGGCCCCACCTCCTCAGAAGCTGAAACATAAATATCAATGCATGATGATGGACGGTGCTGCTGGGAGACCGATAGCGTCGCCAGGGGGAGGGGCTTAGACTCCTTGGGGGCAGCACCTGAAGAGACAGACTGTGAGCTGTTGGCTCGGTGGAGACTGAGTGAGCGCTCTTTGAAGAAACTCTCAGCTCGTTCAACTCCACTTGCTCGTTCACCACCACGACCGCCACCAACATAAAATGAGTGGCTCCTTGTCCGTGCAGCCATAGTAGTAGGAGAGGGAGGGGACATGGAGCCCTCAGCTGCTCCCTCTAGTGCCTCCTGTAAACGGTAGTTATTGCCTTCTGTGCTGTTAAAGCTGCTTTGACGATGGATGTAAGATGCATCTGGGCACTCACCCTGGCGAAGTATGTACGCAGAGTCTGTGCAGTCAGATGAAGTTCGGGAACGTGCTTTGTTGACTTCACCACGTTCAACCCCCGTCACACGCTCCAGCGCTACAGCAATTCGTCCAATCATCTCTTCCATTTGAGCCAGTCGAATATCAACAGTCTGCAGTGATGCTTTCATGAAGTGTTCCCTCTCATTAACTTCCTCCAGACGCATTGCCATGTTCTCCACCCTGATAAAGTAGAGAAGAATGTAAAGTAGAGAAGAATGTAAAGTAGAGACATCAAAAGCACCAATAGAGCAGGGTAGACTAATGGAGTATAGCTAATGCACAAACAATGCAACAAAACTTCTTCCAGGAACAAAAAATGACTGAACACATGGTGGTATCTGGTGAGAAAAAAAAAGCATTCACAAAACTGGAATGTCAAAGCTTTAGTTAATTTTCTGGGTGGATACTCCTTTTTGTCCTGCATGCAGTTCACAGCCTGCAAATAAGGAGAAGCAGTTCCATCACTGGTGTACCAAGAACAATTTTCTGTGTGTTGCAACTCAGATTGTTTTAGCTGCATGACCAACAGTATATTGCAGTATTCCTGTATTTGCTTTAGTGTTATCAAATTCTCTTTCCTTCATTTGTTTTCTCACTTAGCTTTATTTATTTAGTTTTTCAACTTGTGTTGGACTCTCTTGGCCATCACATAGAAAAGGAAAGAGAGATAGTATATATAAAATATACTGTATACAGCATGACTGTTTCTTGATGGTTAGAACACAGACATAATATTTCATTGCAGCCATGTTCGACCTTTCAGAAGTGACTCTGATCCGCTCATCATTAGAGGAGTGGAATCTGTCTTCTTTTTCTCTGAAGTACTCTTCTATACATTGCTCCTCAAAGTCGTGGACTTTCTTAAGTTCATCCTCTGTGATGAAAAGCTCTGTGGATGAAAGAGTTTGTGAGTGATAATCCAACCGTGGCATATCCAACACAGTGAGTGCATCATAGTAGTAAAAGTCCAAAAGACAAAGTATATGCTAGCTATTTAGGATTGGTTTTGTGGTTTTAATAAACAACCTAGGTAATGACTTATCTGTCACTCACTCAGTCCGTAGTCCCTTTCGTCATCGTCATGCTTGCGCCAGCGACAACACAGGTGCTTGAGGACCATCGTGATGTGACTGAAGATGATGAGAGGCGGAGGAAGCACCGGACGCTCATGGAAGGTCATAATGAGCTGGTAGCGTTGGAACTTCCAGACTTGATTGGAGATAGACTTCACTTCAAAGAATGTATTACTATGATGGTGGACAATCACAGACAGAGATGCCACACTAGTCAAGAAAGATTACCTAAACCGGTAGCTAAAATAAACACAACCAAGTCATTAGTGGCACAACATAGACCATAACCACTTCAGGGGGTCTAGTGACGGACTGATGGATTGAATTATTCACTTACAACATGCTCCTACATGGCAGAGTCAAGTTAGGAGACAGAGAGTATGTGGAGACAGACATTAACACAACAGCCAATACAATAAATATGTAGTGTAAGATGCAATGCTATGAGTTCAGTTTTTTTTTCTATTGTGCACTTCTTAGTCAGTACCCTGACAAATGTGAAGAAGAGGATGAACACAATTGGTACATGGATAATCCAGGAGCATGATAACAGATCATCAGCACGATAATGTCTCTGTGGAAGAATCACCAGTTAATACTTTACAATGTGCTGACTGCAGCTTAACAGCAGCCTAAGCATAGACTGAAGTCTTTTATCTTTTTCTCTCACACTTAGGCAACATTCCCAAGAAAGGTCTTAAAAACAGTTCATGTCTGTTTTGTCTAAAATAGTATAATTAGATAATGCTGTGAGTACCCCCCCCATGTCTAAGTGATGCTGTTAAGTGAGAGTGTTGGAGGAGAGAGGGAAACTATTGCTATGATCACGCTTCCAAAAAGAAGTGATTGTTGGGAAATAATTAAAGTTTACATACTTGAACACAGCTATGAGTAGGTTGACCAGCAGTATGTTGGCCACCAGCAGATAGCAGGCCATAATGGCTGGGACAATCCAGGCGCCCGTCTTGCAGGGAGGCAGCGCCACCACCACCCCATCCTCTGTAGTGATGTTCTGCCCACAGGGGGCTGTACACAAAATAAATACGCACACATGCAAGTTAATACAAGGTTAAATGGAGACTTGAATCCATCAAAATAATATTTTAGTAGAATTTTTAGATGCACAAAAATTAAAAGGACATGCAGACACAACATGAACACATGACACAATATAGTCAAAAAAATCAAATCTGTAGTATAAGAAAATAAAACCTAAGGATATTAAAATATAAGCCCCAATGACAAACAAAAAGATAAGAAGACTTGAAAACACCAAACAAAATGTATAATTACATAAACTGCAAACAAACAAGAAGCATAATTCATTTTTATGCTTCTTAGAGAGGGGACTGAGAAAGAGTGGACACCATGATGATAGGGGCTCATGTTCAGAAATGTGTATCTGAAAGCAAAATAGACACAAAGACAAAAACACATTCATCATGTATCACCACAATTTATGTTCCCAATATATTTAAACATGTAGACAATGTTTAAAATATATTGTCACATATGTGTGCCATAGCTTCATTCAGCAGTGGTTGATTGCTCTGAATCGTTTGAAATGTATTCGGATACACAGTATGTTTTTTCCATCTGTGATGGTTCAGTTGCTGTGGCTTTTCTAGGGAACATTCGGCATTGGTTCTTCATTTGTTTACCTGCGGGATTCATTTTAGTCATGCTCATCATTGTTTGATGTTCAGTTGTTTCACACAATGCAGCCCAAAGACAGAGAACTGAAGTAATTTTTCTTTTTTGTTTTATTTTACCTTGAAAAATTTGGATTTAAAAACTCTGACAACTGAACCACATGAAAAAACAGATTATAGATGGTGAAAGGTGGCTGATAAATATGCTCTAATGTGGATGTGTGTATGTTTGTGTGTTATTCCTGTTTGATGTGATATTCATGTTTAAATTTCAGTGCTTACTTTATGTTAAATGTTGGCTATATGGGTACAAACTGTAACTGTTGCAATCGCTCCAGTGAGAAGCTGAGCGGGCATAAAGAGAGGATGATAAGGTTTGTGTGACAGATGGTGTTAACATGGCAGGGTCACTACTTCAAATTGAAATTTGGGAGATAAAATGAGGAGAAGAAATATCAAGGAAATATCAAAATTGAAAACTTTGATAGTTCCTCTGGCTGTTTGAATGTGAGTACAAAAAATAAAGAGCATAAATACATTAGAACAAATTTGAAAAGTGCTGCTGCCATGAAACGGTGCCATTTGTCAGCCAGTGCCAAAATTAGTCAGGGTAAAGTTGCTTACAGGATACAGCCTTTGGTCAAGCTACTGGCGGTCACAATCCAAGTTTTAGAGGAAACATGTAGTCTCATAGAATCAGGTCACTTCAGATTATTTTAAATTGTCTCCATTATTCACAGAAAATGCTGCTGATATACAGTAGCTGACCCAAGATACCAACACTCGACGGCAACTTTAACCTTAGAGCATATGGAGCTGCATGCACACTTTTGTCTCCAGTGGCCTCAAGTATAGGAGTGGGCATGACACGGTGGTAATGTGAGGATGATGAAGGAGAGGTGGGATTGGTAGACGTGGATTAACTGAGATTTATATCATTAAATATACTGGGATTTTGACTGCACTGGGCAATGTGGGATTGACCATTATTACGCCAGGTTCCGTGAGTTCGAAAGTAATTTTCGACCAGCCAGAGTTTTTCATTCAGCTTGTGCTGTAACTTCCTACTATGCATATCTGAAACAAAGAATGAAAACATTATTTCAGATCTCTTCTCTTTGGGCCACACCTCACATTCTGTACACACCATCATATATACTTCCACACATATAGACAGCAGACAGATACATCCTGACTCTAGGGACATTGTCTCACAGACAGGTCTATTTTTGATTTATTGAGTAAAAAATGTCACATGGTAAAAATATTGTAGAAACAAAAAAGATCAAGACATACTGAGAGTAAACAATGTTCTTATAAGAGAAGCCAGCTTCTCAGAAAGATTACACAGACATGTGGAAACAAGATATGTCAAGAATTTCCCTACTTCATAATCATCATTAATGGAGATGCAACTTTTCTTGTAGTAACTTTTTATGTATGTATTAGAGATGCTGTAGATGAATAACTGAATATTAAAGGTAATTGATACTCAGATACTATCCACTTCTAAATTAACAAAAATTAAGTTTCTGCAGTAGCGCTGACACTATGACCCTTAACTTACGGTCAATCTGGTCGGCAAACACCTCTCCGTAGATCATCCAGTAAGGCATGAAGAAGATGTTCCTAGCTAGCATCCAGGATGGGTCTTCATTAGGGTGGAGAATGGCCTGCCGTGCCACTCCAAAACTCATCAACACCACCAACATGATGATCACAAAATACATCATGTCGATCATCTGACAGTGGGAAGGTGGTAGAGGAGGATCGCCAGAGAGAGAAAGGAAGGGGTGAGTGGTTTAAGAAGAGAAAAAAGTGGGGAGCCGTTGGCAATGTTTATGGAAAGGAGCACAAAACAACAAGAAGGAATGATTAAGTGAAGAACGCAGTGATGAGACAAAACGGGCAGAAGAAGGAAGCATATTGGTCTGTTACAACTAGAGAAGCACTTTATAAATGTCTGAAAAATTATCGTCTGCATTTTTATTTTTATTTTTTTATTGCTATCTCCTTCATAGGCTCGTGTGGTTAATCAGAATTCAGTTTAGTTTGTCCTGGATTTAAACATTTAAAATGCACCTAACATAAGTTGCTCCCAGCTTGACTAATGAAGTTACAGTGCTGAAGTGTGGTGAAACCCTTCCACCCGGCTCATTTGTATGTGTATGTGTTTAATACTGTCATTTACTGTCTTTCTGGAAAGCTGAACTACATCGCAGATACAGTCACACTTTGGAGTTACAGTTGTAAATATAAGCATTATTTTTTAGTTAAAAAACATGAGGTGCATACAAGAAAAAAGCATTATTACTTTCTTTTTTCCAGAAAGACAGGTACATTTTTTGTAAGTATGCAGTTTAAAAGTACAGTGATAATTCAACTTTTTATTGTATTAACAGTGCAGCATTTGTTAATCTTTATTTCTCTGAGCTGTAGAGATTTCAAATCAGTTTACAGTATGAAGCTGCAACATCATATATGCCAAACATCTGACCAAGTCAAATCCAAATCTCTCTCACTAACTAATTGCTAATTTTCATATCAAAGAGAGTCTGTGACCGGTGGCACATGGCTCATGTCAAAGACAGCTGAACATCAGACATACCCAGATTTGGGCTTTTGATCCCTTCTGTAGTTTTGTGTCAGAGGCTCTGATCTTGTGCTCTTTGAGATCAAACAATAAGGTTTAGAGGCATAGAAGCTTTGTTACAACAGGGCCTACACACCACACAAAATAAATCTCTGTAATAATGAAGCTCATTTAACTCGTGATCAAAAACTATCAGATATACTGTAAATATGCCTCTTCTCACCATCTTGCCAATCATCATCACATAGGGACCCAGGTACTTGTTGACTCCAAAGATGTCAAGCAGCCGGATGTACCAATAAATGATGTTAACGCAATAGATGACCCGCCCATAGCTCATGAGTGGTGGCTCCTGGAGACGCAGAACCATGCCGACGGAGAATATGAGGATGGCCATAAGGTCTGTGATGTTCCAATACTCCTGAAGCCACACCTTCACCTTCTGCAACAATTTCCCAGGCTCTGACATCAAGATCTGGAAGAGGGAAATTAACAGAGAAAGAAAACCAAGAAGTGAATGCTCAAATGTAGGAATGGTGGGAAGAAGTATGTATAAACAAAGAAACTGAGGGGGAAAAAAACAGAAATGTCCACACAGGCATTGAAATAGAATGACAGATAATGCATTTGATCATGGCCACCATAAGAGGGCAGTGTGAGTTCACTAATGAGAGAATCTAGAAGACATCTGAAAAAGCACTGTGCAGCTGAGAACGATGTGCCACAATGATTAATGCATGTCATACACTTAGAGAATAAACACAGCCAGAGACCAAGGCTGAACTAGATAGTCTCATGTGGCCACATGCCTGTATTGTCTATTTCCGTCTTATTTCTTTGTTTTTACATCCCAGTATCCTGCCATCATTTCTACTCCATTCTCCCTTTCCTTTCTCTTT